TGGAGGCCACTGACATTTTTTCCCCCTACTCATCTTTTCTGATGCTTTTTCACTAGTTTTCCATTTGGCTAGAGTCAGTGTCACTACTGGTAGCATGAGGCGATACCTGGACCCTACAGAGGTTGCAAAAGGCAGTCCAACTCCTCTAGGATAGCACATCAATACGTGCCATTTCCAGAAGGTTTGCTGTGTCTCCCAGCACAGTCTTAAAAGCATGGAGGAGATTCCAGGAGACAGGCAGTTACTCTAGGAGAGCTGGACAGGGCCATAAAAGGTCATTAACCCATCAGCAGGACCAGTATCTGCTCCTTTGTGCAAGGAGGAACAGGATGAGCACTGCCAGACCCTACAAAATGATCTCCAGCAGACCCCTGGTGTGAATGTCTCTGACCAAACAAATCGGAAACTGACTTCATGAGGGTGACCTGAGGGCCCGAAGTCCTCTAGTGGGCCCTGTGCTCACTGCCCGGCACCATAGAGCTTGAGTGACATTTGCCATTGAACACCAGAATTGGCAGGTCCACCATTGGCGCCTTGTGCTTTTCACAGATGAGAGCAGGTTCACCCTGAGTACATGTGACAGACAAGAAAAAGTCTGGAGAAGTCGAGGAGAACATTATGCTGCCTGTAACATTGTTCAGCATGACCATTTTGATGGTGGGTCAGTGGTGGTCAGGGGAGACATATCCATGGAGGGATGTACAGACTTCTACAGGCTAGACAATGGCACCCTGACTGCCATTAGTATCGGGATGAAATCCTTAGACCCATTGTCAGACCCTACACGCTGGTGCAGTAGGTCCTGGTTTCCTCCTGATGCACGATAATGCCCGGCATAATGTGGCAAAAATGATAAGTGACTTGAAGAATAAAACATCGAAATGTTGGGTCCATGGCCAAGAAACTCCTCAGGCTTTAATCCCTTTGAGAACCCCGCAAATTCTGACAAACTTTAAGCATAGCTTATGCAAGAATGGGCTGCTACGAATCAGGATGTGGCCTAGAAGTTGACTAAGCATGCCAGGGGCAAATTGCAGAGGTCTTGGAAAGAAAAAGGGTCAACATTGCAAATAATGACTCTTTGCATAAACTTAATATAATTGTCAATAAAAGCCTTTGACACTTATGAAATGCTTGTAATTATACTTCAGTATATCATAGTAACATCTGACAAAAAGATCTAAAAATACAGAATCAGCAGACTTCATGAAAATGTGTTATTCTCAAAACTTTTGGCTGGGGCTTTAAGTAGTTGGGAGACCCCTGATCTAAACCAATGCTATCCACCATTGTCATCAAAAGCCACAACAGTTTTAGGATTATGAATTATATATAGCCTAATGCCAGACATTAATAAAGTTTAGTTTTATAATGCAAAATTATTGTATTTTACTTGGGGTGTAGCAGAACTTGGGGTGCAGAGACCACTGTCAGAGCTTCTATTTAGGGTATAACATGAAGCATGGCTGCATTCTTTGAACCCCACTCACCTGAACTGCATTATGCTTCTACATAGACTGCCCCCTGCAGTTTTTAATTTAAGATGGCTGTATGGATGGAGCCAACCTAGCCAGGTTATCCATTCGATGATCTATTCACAGGGATCTGTGGATGGAAAGACTACAAGTCCCATCTTCCCTGCAGCAGAGGGACATACAGATCTTAATGGAGCACAAGTGCTGTGACATCAACACACTTGTAATCAGTGTTGCCAACCTACCAGATAGACATTCACTGACACGATACCCAAATGTTACTGGCACAGCCAAATCTTTACTGGCATTTCCAAAAGTTAAAAAAAATTACAGTTTTAAGTGCAAATTTCAGTATTTAGGCTATAAAAAGTACAATATGCAATTAGCAATGTGATTTAAGGTAGATATTAACCACTTGCCCTCCTGAGGATTTACCCCCCTTCATGACCAGGCCATTTTTTGCATTACAGCGCTGTTACTTTAACTGACAATTGCGCGGTCATACAACGCTGCACCCAAATTAAATGTACTTCCTTTTTTCCCCACGAATTGACCTTACTTTCAGTGATATTTGATCACCTGTGTGGTTATTTTTTGCGCTTTAAGCAAAAAAAAAAGCCAACAATTTTGAGGACAAAAACAATATTTTGGACTTTTTGCTATTAAACATATCCAGTAACAAAAAATTTAAAAATCATATTTCGTCATAAATTTATGCCAAAATGTATTCTGCGACTTGTCTTTGCTAAAAAAAAAAAAAAAAAAAAATCTCAATACGTGTAAATGAATTGGTTTACGTGAAAGTTATAGCGTTTCTGACACTGGGGGGAACTAACTTGATATCACTGACATCGCCAGTGACACCAATACAGTGATCAGTGCTAAATAAAAAAAAAAAGCACTGACACTGTACTAATGGCACTGGGCAGGAAGGGGTTAATGTGAGGGGGCGATCTAAGGGTTAACTGTGTGCTTTACTAGGGGGCAGGGTGGGGGTGTTCTTCACTGTAAGCACACTGATCAGGATGGCTATATTTTGCATAGCCATCCCGAGCAGTGTGCTCAAGCTGACAGGGAGGAAGATTGTTTGTAAACAAAACAATCTTCCTCCCTGTTGGAGGTGCTTGGTAGTCACCGGGTGCCAGCGGGTAATTACCGGGCGTAGGGTGTGCGTGCGCCCCCACCCATAAATGCGAAAATCACGTATATATACGTGATTTTGCGTACAGGTGCCACCGTGTAGCAGTATATCTGCTATAGGGCGGTCCTTAAGCGGTTAAGGCAAAAACACATTTCTTATTTTATTTCTGATATAGTAAGTAGCTCAGGAACAGGGCAGAGACATACACAGATAGACCTGGGGTTGAATGGCCGCAATGATCTACAGGCCTGAATGCAAAATGCTAGTTTTTTTTTATTATCATTATTATTAATAATAAGGATGCAATTATTAAATGTTCACAATAAGTAGACTATACCTTTAATACATTTCAAACGGGGGTTTAATAGTGCAATGCATTTTTTGGAGTGAAGGTCCACTTTAACCACTTCAATACCTGCCACTTTCACCCCCTTCACCCAGACCAATTTTCAGATTTCAGTGCTGTTGCATTATGAATAACAATTGCGTGGTAATGACACACTGTACCCATATGAAACGTTTATCTTCTTTTTTTTTTTAAACATATAGAGCTTTCTTTTGGTGGTATTTAATCATCACTGGCTTTTTTATTTGTACAAATAAAAAAAGACAAACAAAAAATTATTTTTTATAGTTTCTGTTATGAGATTTTGCAAATAAGTAATTTTTCTTTTTCTTTTTAACTGATATACACTGATTGGGTTGCAATGATAATCAGGGCACTGATCAAGCAGAGGCTAAGATGGCAGCTCCCTTGGGTGTAAAGGATAGAAGGGTATAATTGCGCTTTAAAAGGGACATTAAAAGAGAAGTCTCCCACTGCCGCTACACTGGGAACTGAGTGATCAAAGACCATCAAAGATCGTTAGGTTCTCTGTCTTCATTGAGCAGAGAGTGGCGGCGGTCAGTCTCCAGCTCTCTTCTCTGCCCCTCCAGTGCTCACTGGAGTGGCTGGCTCAGGCTCCTAGCGACTCGCTGATGCCTCCAGGATATCTGACAGACAGTAGGCAAGAACGGAGGAATAGGGGCTGGCTGGACCATAGAGTCCCAAAAAAAGAAATTAAAAATTGCTAGCTAGTTTAGGTTAATGAAATTAGAATATATTATTTTAGAATGAAGGTTGGCATTGATGTACCAATAGAGCAGGGATCGCCAAACTTTTCAAACAATGAGCCAGTTTACAGTCCTTCAGACTTTAGGGGGGCTGAACTGTGAAAATGTCCTGTGCCCAGCATCAATTAAAATAAACATGGCCTCAGGTTTGGTGATCAGATGGAGAAGGAATAGTGCCCTATCGCTGGCATTAGTGGGAAGAATTGTACCCCATCATTGGTATCAGTGGAAGAAACTGTGCCCCGTTGTTGGTGTCAGTGGGAGAAAATAGTATTCCATCATTGATATTAATGGGAGGAATAATGCCCCATCATTGGTGTCACTGGAATGAATTATGCCCCAATGTTGGTGTCAGTAGAATAAACAGAGCCCCATTGTTGGTATCGGTGGGAGGAATAGTACCCCGTCATTGCTATAATGGGAGTAATAGTGCCCTGTCATTGGTGTCAGTGGAGGGGAATAGTGCCCCATCTCTAGTGTCAATGGCGAGGGAAACAGTGCCCCATCACTGGTGTCAATGGGGGGGGGGGAGAATAGTGCTTCATCACTGCTGTTGGGAGGCAGTGCCCCGTCATTGGTGTCAGTGTGGGGGGACATAGTGCCCCGTCTCTGGTGTCAGTGGGGGGAAACAGTGCCCCATCACTGGTGTCAATGGGGGGGGGGAGAATAGTGCTTCCCGTCACTGTCTGTTGGGGGGACAGTGCCCCGTCACTGGTGTCAGTGGGGGGGGACAGTGCCCCGTCACTGGTGTCAGTGGGGGGGGGGGGGACAGTGCCCCGTCACCATCAGTGCCCCGTCAATGGTGTCAGTGGGGGGGGGGGGGGGACAGTGCCCCGTCACTGGTGTCAGTGGGGGGGGGGGGGGACAGTGCCCCGTCACTGGTGTCAGTGGGGGGGGGGGCAGTGCCCCGTCACTGGTGTCAGTGGGGGGGATAGTGCCCCACTGTTGGTGTCAGGGGGAGGAATAGTGCCACAAGGGCTCCCTCCGGCCACAGCTTGGAGACCACTGCAACAGAATAACAGCTCTAACAGGAAGGCCACCCTGCTCCTTTATAGTGGGCCCCTCATAATCCAGTAGTAGAGTTGCAATCACTGTATAAGGAACACACAGCAGTGTCCATGTAGTATATGGAGGTAGAGGCCCAACTGTCCACCATGGTACCCTGCCCTCCATAGACCATGACAGGTCTGCCATCAAGAAGCAGTGTACAGCCTCTGCCATATCACCTAATGACACCCAATCAGTATGAACACCCAGGGCCCCCGACTCACCCCGGGCCTCTGTGCTTGGATACAGCTTCTCCGCTTTATTCAGAAATTTCTTGGCCTTCTCCCACTCCCCGGCCAGCAGCGATAGCTTGGCGATCTGTAGACACCGCCTGGCCTCATCCTTATTACTCTCCATGATCCCGGGGCTCCTCTACCCCTCCAGCCCCGGCACTGAGCTCACACAGTGACAACACACAGCGACAGAGGGAGGGCTAATCTATGTTGGTCCCTCCTTTCAAGAAAACCCTTCGGCTGTCGCCATCTTTGTACACCCAGGGACAATGTATACTGACCCCCCTCCTTTCAAGAATTAAAAAAAAATCAGACGCCGCCATCTTTGTATACCCAAAGATAATGTATACTGGTTTCTCCTTAAAAAAGAAAAACCTGCCTCCACCATCTTTGTACACCAAAAAAGTATGTGTACCGGCTCATTTGAAAAACCTTCGGCCGTCGCCATCTTTGTACACCCATTCTACAAGCCGGAATTAGTCTTCCTCTGACACAAACATGGACGTCATAAACCCGTCCACCACGCCCCCATCCTCGGAACAGAACGGGTTCAAGCCAGTAGTAGTAGGCTATCACGTGGGGGTGGCACCCGTAGCCAACTTGGTCACTAGAGACCACGTGTTCCTGGGAGCCGGAAACCTTAGGTCTCCTCAGTGTGTACAATGCCCTGCTTGAACTCTCAGCGTTTATACACCTATCCGTTTCCTCTCCACTCACTCATTCCTTATTGGCCAGTACGGTCCAGCTGCGGAAAGAAATGTGTCACGTGCCTCCATAGGAGGCTGAGCCTACGCTCATTTTAACCACTTGCTCTCCGAAAGGTGTTACTCCCCTTCATGACCAGGGCATTGTTTGCTATTCAGTGCTGTGTTACTTTAAAGCAAAACATTACCCATAAAGCTTTATAAAAAAGAATGTTCTTTAGCAAAGCACATACATTCCACTCTAATATGTGTTGTACTCACAAACGACGATAAAGTCAAAGCACATCATAAAAGAACAGCTGGGTCAACACCGCACTGAGTAACAGTCCGTAATAGGGAGTGTAGACATCCAATAGGCTGACGTGTTTCGAGGACTTGCCTCTTCCTCAGAGCCCAACATTTTTTATGGCCTGTGCGTCCTCTGCTTGTGCTTTCCTCATTCAGTATATTTGGATTCCGCCGGTCTATTTGAGGGCAGCAAGGTGTGCATGTTCCAGGACATTCTTAATGTGGTTGTAGCCTGCATTGAGTCCATCCCCAAGCGCAGGAGCATTTGTGTTTGCTGGCACCTTAATATGTATTCTATCAACATTAGTGTGTGCTCTAAATAGCCCCCAGCATCGCTCCTGTTTCTTTTTGCTGGAAGCTGCCATTTTGTTGAAGTCCATAGCCCCTGAGCAGCAGTAAATCATAACTAAGCCCATTGATTGAACGGTTTAAAAAAAAACAGTTACGTTCTTGGAATGCTGGAAATGCTGTCACACTTGTGTCCTCAACTAAACTGTCAAACCATGAAATGACTGGTATTATAACTGATCACATGAGTAGCACCATGGCAGTTGCAGATCAAACAGAAGCAGCTTCCTTGCCTGTAAAGGATAGGAGGGTTTAATTCCGCTTTAGGCTTCATTGACACCAGTGTGAAGAGACATCAGCTTTTCTGCATGCGTTCTGCAAGGGCAGGACAAAATCAAACGTAATATCTAAATGTGTCGCGCTTCACAATATAAAAAATCAATAACAAACATATAACTAAAAAAATAATATGATTGTGAGAAAACAACCATGTGCTTCAAACAGTGCAATTCTGTGCAAAAAAACATAAATATAAAAATTAGTGCACAATGAAAAATTTGCACAGAATTGCACTGTTTGAAGCACATGGTTGTTTTCTCACAATCATATTATTTTTTAGTTATATGTTTGTTATTGATTTGTTATATTGTGAAGCGCGACACATTTAGATATTACCTTTGATATTTTTACACAAATTATGAGTATGTGTTTAGTGTTGATGCATCACATATTAATTTGATATTTGTTGTAATTTTTTTATTATATAAGTTTGTCACTCAAAGAGAATATCACGTTTTAGCTCACGAGAATCACTTTTATTTGGCAGGACAAAATCAGTTATTCTCTACGTGTCATGTTCACACCACAACAATAGTACCACATGCAGATTTTTTTTCTGCACAAGAATCTGCAATGTGTATAAAACTCATTGAAACATGCATGAAAACTGATGTTTGCAAGTGAAATCTGTGGGTCAGTTTCCTTCAGCTTTCATGCATGTATGGTGAACGAGCCCTTAATGCCAGTCATACATGGGTCAAAATTCGACCAAAAATCGGACCTAAAATAATTGGCCGATTTTCGCTCTGTTAGTGGGTCAATGGCACTGGCTGATTTTCATGGTTCCTCCCCTTTTCGGTGATTGGGCATGTTGTAAAATTCGTGAAAAAACAACGATTTTCGACTCAAATCGTACGATCATTTTTCCGAAAAGAATATGTGCATGAGCCGTGACCTGAAAGGAACAGACGTTTCACCTGTTATATGGGGGTGAACTTTATGACTTGGTCGGCCGATTTTCTAAATCATTGATGGCACCATTGTATTACCTAGAGAACGATGTTTTCGATTGAAAAATAGTTTGGAATTCGACCCATGTATGGCCTGCATAAGGCTCCATACACGCTAGCATTTTTTTAAGCTAAAAAAATGCTGGCAATAGCGGTTTTTTTAGTAGCGTTTATGAGTGTTTGCATTTTATTAGCGTTTTTTATAGTACATGTAGAGGAAACAAATGCTAGGAATAAAGTTTAGGAGCATTTTATAGGCGTTTAGGAGTGTTTAGCAGTTTTATTATTTTGAGAAACATTCCAAAAAACTACAAAAACAATTTTTTTTCTGCTCCTAGACACTGAAGCTTAAAAAAATGCTATTAGTGTGCATGGACACATATGAAAACACTAGTTAGCTTCTAGCAGGAGGAAAATATGCTGATAATAGCTTCTAGGAGCTTGAAAAAATTGCTAGTGTGCATGGAGCCTTAGGCCTTTACAGATTCAGCAGTGCCTAAACATGGAGAGCAACTGAGCATGTGCAGAGCAGGGTGAGACAGTGTATTACTGGATTTTAACCCCTTGGCGCCAGAGCCTCACAGCCCTTTAAGGGTTTCAGAAGCCGAGAGGCAGGGTTTTAGGGTCATGTGAGCGCCGTGATTCACAGTCACATGATCGGGAAAGGTCCCAATCGAAAGAGGAGATCGGGACCTTTCCATGAGTACCGGACATGTGTGCTGGGGGCGCGCACTCTCAGCACATATGTTTATGTTAATTGCACACAAATGTGCGGCCACTCGGCATCTAGGCTCAGACACTGGGAGGCTGCACATTTGTGTGCAGCTGGCGTGAAGAGGTTAAACAGTATAGGCACCTATTTCCTGACAGCTCCATGTCAGCACAGCTAGCTAAGGGCCACACTCCCATGCTTCCAGGTCCTAACTCATAAATTTGAGCCCACCTGCAGCCTCAACGGTCCTCTTTTTCCTCCCATGTGAAGGACCTAGGTGTGCTCCTCTACCTGGGCGGTCTAAAGGGCTGGCTGTCCATGTGTGTGGGCTTCAGATGGACGTGGTCCCTGATGTACCGGCTAAATGACCCATAAGCAAGGGAGCCCCGCTGCTGGTCCTCTGGGTGGCCTTTATCATGGCTAACAGCCTTGTCTGGGGTCTGCTGGGTCCATGTGAAGTGGGCAGCGGTGTCAGCAGAATCTCTCCTAGGCACGCACACCCACGAAGTGCCAGTGTTTATAGTTAGATGGCGGAGGTTGGGTGAGCTAAATGTAAAAATACTTTGTATCCAAATGAATGCTGCATTGCTAGGGCTGGCCATACACTATACAATTTTCTTACGATTTTCTGTCCAATTTCCTTTAGATTTACCCTCAATTATGCAAAACAAGGGCTTGCCCAATTGGATACAATTGAAAGTGTTGTTTAGGTTTGACCTCATATTATATGGTTTTTGGTAAATCTAAAGCAAAATTCTCAAGAAAATTGTATAATGTATGGCCAGCCTAGGTATTGTGCCTTGCCCCCTGCAGTCGCTGTGCATACCCTGAGCTCCTCCACAGGTAGTACTCTGCATAACAGGTGTACAATGTAATACTTTGTCTGTTCACACATGGCATTACCTGTTGGTGGCTTCTCATATTTGCTTTACTATTGCGCCATTATGCCAACCCCCTCAAAAGACCAGCATTCCCAGAGAAGGTAGAGGAGTCACCTGTGGATGACTACAGTAGTCAGCATTGCCTGTTGGAATATAGGACATACTTTTATTTTTTGATTGTGCTCTGCAGTTTCTCAAAAAGAAAAGAAAAGTTCTTGTTATGATGTCAACAATCAATTCCCTTGGATGGTTTGTGTACATTGCAGAATATTATTGTAATTCTGTTGCAGATTCCTACCTTTTGCCAGCGGCAGAAAAAACCCAAACTCAATGACCTCCACCATATTTTGGTTACTAACGTTAACCAGGGGTCTTCTTAACAAACCATTTTCATTATCTCCTGCTCTCTGGCAAGGCAAAGTTTGGTTCGTTAACCAGGGGGTGAAATCTGGCTGTGGTTGGAAACATTTAGGGTTTGGTTACTAAGCAAGCTATTTTGGCAAAAGGTACTTGCATTACATTTTTTTTAGCTGCTTTAAGTGGCAGGCAAAACCATGTCAAAATGATTATTTAATCTGGCACCCTTCTTAATAAGCACTTGTGGACAGCCTCAGAGCTTTCCCCCTCAGCTTAAGACTTTTTCACAAAAAAGGAAGACGTCTTCCCAGCTTTCATGAACATGACTTGTGTTTACAGGGCATCTCATGAACATGACTGTAAGTGTTTCACTTTTTTTTGTTTTGTCACCCTGAAATAGCAAAACATGGTGTTAATGCCATATGTTCTGAGCATGATGGTAAATATCAGTCTAATATGCCTTCCCAGGCAAAACAGCCTCTTCAGACTCTCCAAGGGGAAGATATGGATGAATATGACTATATGAATCTTGCTTTGTTCAAGCAATCAGAAATGAGAATAACACCTAACATGTTGTCACATGCATTAACCCCTTGGTGCCGGCG